ATATATACATATATATATATATATATATATATATATATATACACACAAACACACACACACACACACACACACACACATGGGTTGAACTGGATGGGCCCTTGTCTTTATTCAAACTCACCTACTATGTTACTGTGATTGCCTACACTACTGATCTCTATTGTATTAAAGTAAAAAAAAGAAGTCAGAAACTGACAATATCCGAAGCATTGATTTTCTGATCCCCAACTGCAATGTATGGTTCCATCAGCAGATCCCTACATCTCTACAGGACAGAGTAGTGCTGTAGACATTGGCAGATCAATTTACTGAGCGTCAGATTCCAATGTGTTGGTTTCTGAAGATTCTTCAGCCAACTTTTTCTCTTCACTACAGCAGAGATCGGTACATGCTTATAGGAGGAGAGTGCAGATTGAGCAGAAGGATGACACAGTTACTTTTCCTTGTTTGTTTAATCAACCTAGAGTGCAGCTTTGACTAAATGGTGATGTTCCTGAGATTGAGGTTGAAGACCTGGCTGTCTGTCTGGCAGGATGTCTGGCTGAACAGAATTACAACATTTATTGCCAGGTAAAACATAGCCTGCAAAGTTTTGATACGTTTTGATAATTTGATACTATAAAGGTATGGTAAATGACTTTTAGTGACACAATTCCAGTGACATGACATTTAGTAGGTTATATTTTTAATATGTATTTTCAAACTAAACTTTAAATTATAGAAACCTCATCTAAAGTTGATAGGGCCTGTGAAATGGGGATAGGGTTAAAGATCCAGCAGTTAAAGATACCTTCTTCTTAACGAACATCCCCACCCCACTCCTAATGCCCCCAGATTTCTTTGGCACTTGTATATGTACTGGGCATAGTTTACTAATGTTGTAGTGAGGTGAAACAAATCTGCACTCACTTAAAATATCCACTCTTGTCAACGTACATTTTAACAATTTTCCTGCACATGATTGGATGTTTGAAGTGAACACAGGCTTATTTCATTTCACCTCAGTTTTCACTTTTAGTAAATCCATCTTGCTGACAATTATTTGTTAACAGGTATGTAAACCCCAACAATGAACTTTCCCCTATTCTGTCCCTCATGGCCTGATAAATGTACCATTGAAAGTGATTTGTTATATCATTTTCATAAGTATTAGAAAAAAGTTGATCTTGCCAGAAACCTTGTTAGCTGAAAACATCCAATGCCTCTGTTTATTTATTTTTGTCACATTGTTCCTAATTATCTCAGTGGACTACGGAACCCAATCCCTCTATGTGATGGAGAAGAGGAGATGTGGCGACTCCTGATATGCAGCCACCACATCTAAGGACTGGTAAGCAGCAATATATTAAATTTTTGTTTTGGGGTTTGGATATACTTTATTATCTACACAAACTAATTATTCTTAGCATTAATACATATTAAATATGTGTTTGCAAACTATTTACCCTGTAGAATATGAATGGTGTTAAGCAATTACAAATAAAAACCATTCTCCACCTATATCCTGTATGTGTCCCGAATAGCACTTTTACTTAGTTCTGGCCAGCCCTGAATTGTGCTGAAGTAGAGAGACTGGGCAAGCACATTGCTTATTTGTTCCTGTCTGGTTTCTCATTTCCTCTCAATAACAACTTTAGCAGTTACACAGATACCTGTAACTTGTATAGCAAAGGCTATACTTTTTTCCAGTCAGCAAAATTATTTAGTGCTCATTCTATTGCAAGACTTCCTTTTTCAGAATATGGAATCTGTACAACTGTTGTTGACTTGTCTAAAGTTGCAAGCTAGCCTGATCAGACAATTTTCAAAGTTTAATTAGGCATCATTTTGACTTTTATCAGTATTAATAATTTTACCTTTTTTACTTTTTTATCAAGCTACATATTGTACAAATGTTAAAACAAATATGACAACGTATCAACTAAAATGGTTTTAATTTCACATTAGACTTGTGTTGTTATGAAAAATGTCTCCCTGTCAATTCTAGTGTAAGTGTTATAACAGTTAGGACAATGGAGTTTCTACATGGTAACATTGAGAAAGCTGAGTTTGCAAGACAATAGTGTGATACATATAATGAGCACTGTCTTGCTTAGTCAGATTCTGAGACATCTGCAATATCTGCTGCTGACAGTTCAGGTTATGTCTTACATAATCTACAGTGGTTGTCAATGAGTGAGCTTTAAGAGTACCTTGTGTCTTACTGACAGCAAGATTACAGTTTTGCATAGGAATTGCATACCTATGAGGAACTTTACTTTAAACCATTTACTTTAAACCATAGGCCCTAGTTTTGTTTTAATGATGTTCAAATGTGATAGAACATTGTTTGAGAATATTGTGTTCTAAGTATGTGATTTAAAATGTATGTAAACCCAATATCTACTTTTAGGGGTCTATTCACGAAGCAGCCGAAGGATCTAGCCATATCTTCTGCCGATCCTTCAGCTAGCTTCGGCCCCAGGACCCCTTCAGTTCAGTAGAACCGAAAGGCTGCTGTAGGGGCTATAGTGAATAGCTAAACTAGCTATTGTACCCGCCCTCTGCTGCAGTTCTCCATCAGGTCTACCACTATTGATTAACAGCAGCAGAGGGCGGGTACAATTGCTAGTTTGCTATTGGCTATTGCAAATTGAAATAGCCAATAGGAATCTAGCAATGCATTCCTATGGCCAAAAATGTATTTATTTATTTTCTATTCTGACACGGCTCCTTGTCAGAATAAAGAAAAAGCAGTGTCTCTTTCCCGGGTGGCCGGGAGCGGGAGACTCCCGGAGCGCCCGGGATAGTTTTTTTTTTTTACGGCAGCAGAACCGCCGGCCAATAGAAAACAGTTGGGTGGAGCTAGCTGTCACTGCTTGCTCCGCACAATCGTTTTCTATTAATTATTTTCTACTTTTTAAACTCTTTTTTTGTTCTGCTCGGTCCCACAGAGGGACCGAGCAGAACTGCCGAGCCGAATGCCGCTCAGCGGCATTTGGCTATTCACTCACTGCTGTTCAGCATCTATAAGAATAGACCAAACAGCAGCGAGTAGCCTGCCGGAGGTTCGGCTTAGCCGATCCAGATGTTAGATCGGCTGAGTCGAACTCCTTCTGCACTTCGGGTCGGCCGAACATGCTGAGCATGTTCGGCCGACCCGAAGCCACCCGATGTACGGCTGATTTCAGCGTTCGGCTCACTTCGCTTTAGGGTGGTCATTCACTTGGCTGCCTACGGCAGCTTAGTGAATAGACCCCTTAGTATTTTTGGCATCATGCCTCACTGTTTACAATTTTATTAAACAAA